GAGCGCACTAACCATGAGGCCACCGCGCCTCCCAAGCCGCGAAGAATTAGCCACGAAAAATGGTTTGCAATAGTTGTCGTAGTTATTTTCCAGATATTTTCCAGCGTCTCTTTTTTCTCCAATTTTCGTGACAATAACGGCGAGTTTTGGAAAACCCTTTCTTGACGAGCACTGAAATCCTACAGTAATTTTCATATATTGTCTTCCGCCGTTGGAGTTTCCATGATTGTTCCTTTTCCGCAATGGCTGAAAAATCAAGTTCCCGAGTACGCGCGACTTGGCACGCGTATTGTTCGTGCTGTTTACATCAAATCAGAAGGTTGGGGTCTAGTAATTTTTGATTGGCTCGTCCTTAGCATGCGCATTTAAGTTATCCTGAACTCTCCTTTCGTCCGCCTGGGTTCATCCCTATATAGGGCGAAGAAAAGGAGAGTTCAAGCACTGGACTACGAAGCAGTAGAAAAAATTACCCTCTAAGAAGTGGGTTGGCTCTGGGTAGCATACGCCTACTATACTGTAGCCTCCTACACAGAGGCTCTCTGGCTCGTCACGCAATCTTCCTCCCGCGAGGAGCCCAAAGTGCGTCATCCGTAGGAGGCTAGCCTACGTCTTGAGTCACTATCCATTTGTTTCAGTGTTTGTGGATCCGGCGATTGTAACTCTTAATTGCCTCATGCTTATTACAAGGATAATTTTAAAGAAAGAACCACAAAACACACAACGTAACGATTTTACCTGAACTCGAAACAAGATGCAACTGGTACAAAGCGCGGGAGTCGAGTCAAGATCTTTGGCTATCATATTGTTCCTGACTGGTTGGAGGAACAACGCTGTTAACCAAATTGCGCTTTTCACTGTATAGATATTTATCTAAAGGATAACGTTTACCATCGTTATAATTTTAACGAACTGCGCAGCCTTGTTGTGTCAGAAATATTTTGTTCAATGTGGAGGTCTCTATAATTCTCGGCTTTATTTTATTTTTGCCGTTACGCTCCATTTTCGTATTTTAGGAACGTTTGTTCCTCCTTTGACACTCCCATTGCCAACAAACCTGGTAATTGTGATCTTCCCAAGATACAATGTCTTAATATTGTAATGTAATGCAAAAACAGAACAAAATGAAAAACTCTTGTTCGAGAAATAATTAAAGAGTTTAAGAAATGAAGCCATTTCGTGACTTTGTAGCCCAGTTCTGCAAGACACCTTTATGATATTTTCACAATTAATTTAGGCCCCAAAGAATAAGAAAGAAGGAAGCACGAAGTAATGCCAACGTACCTTACGAGTAGAATTAGTAACGTTACTGAACTGGAAAATCAAAAAAGTCCTCTTTTTTCCAAATAGAGAGCTCTGTGTTGCTGTAGGAAATAATTAAGCAAAAATAATTTTATTTGTATATACTGTTATCATTAATTTTCCGGGAAGCATTCAAAAGACTGCGAACTTTGACCATATATTACAGTAGTTACAATTTACAGGGATTTACATTTACTTATAAAACTGTTCGCGGTTCACAATCTCTGTCATCTTTTGTCTCCTCGTTGAATTGTCCTGTTAATTGTCAGTAAAAATTCTTCAAAGGTTTTCAGAAAAAGAATGGTTTTGTAATTTTAAACAGCGCATAAGCTGCTACACTGTCAAATACCAAGGCCCAACCAATCTTGATATAGTGGTACACTCGAGCACTTGTGTCTTAAAGCTTCTGGCACTCTGTCTTCCTGCGCATGCACTTTCGTATCTTTCTCTTTCATTTTCTTCACCTTTTCGTTAAGCTCTTTAACGGCTGAGTACAGCTTAGCTTGCATTTCTGCATCTTTCTTCACTATCTCCTTTTCCACTTTGGCTTTCAGCTGGAACCTGTCTATATCAGCCTTTGCTTGCTCGCACAAGTCTGCCACATTGTCCAAGTCATCAATGTACTTATCGACTCGTTTCTCGAGTTCCTGAAGTTGTCTTTGCAATCTGTCAATACAGCTTTCCTTTTATCAGGTAAACTCCACGTAGATTCCAGCTGGTTCTTAACAGGGGAAGAAACCATTTTGCTTTTCTTTGCTTTAATCAAATGCTTTTTACTAATATGCAGATTTGTACGCTTTAGTTTGCTACCAAGCGGAAACTTTTCTGCTCTCTGATAGTGACGTAACAATTGTATTGCCATCTTTGTTGAAAAAGCGCGCGCTCATTAAAAAAGACTGCGCGTGCACGTCATTTGCTCGGGAAACGTGTTAATCTGAACCCAGATCTCCCACGGTAAGAGAGAGATCAGGGTACGAGATTAGACAAGTATTACTTTGGTTGTGCAAAAATAAAAAGTGGCAACCAACCTAATGTGGTTCACCCGGCCTATGGAACAAAGCACGGCCTAAATGCGACTCTAACAGCTTTATTTGAGAACGCACTCTCGAGTGACCGAGGTAAATCACAATATGTAGCAACAGGGAAAATATCTCTACCCAGACGTGTACAAAAGTTACAACGCACACCAAAAGGTCTTTGTCTCAAGACAATTTTGCGAGGACGTGAAAGGGGACAGCCGACAAGGGGAGGATCGGAGTATATTGGACTTCTTGCTGGCAGCGCACGGGGTTCGCGCAAAATCACCCACAATGTATTGCGGTCGTTGTTCGCGTGCATTTCGCGCGGTTCTCAAACGCCAGGAAGTGAAAGGGCGAGTAGAGTTTGCCGTTTGTTCTCCGTGCACCTTGGAAGATCCAGCGAAAATGACCAGTGAAAAGGCTGACGTGATCTATCCGAGTCCCAAGAAGACCAAATTCGAGCAACTGCGGGCAGATCATGAATTATTTCTTCAAGCTTTTGAAAGTAGGTTTGTTGTTTTCGGAAGGCCGAAGTACACGGTCTTTCGCTTCATTCAGTTCAGTCAAAGCGCTCTTGACTTGTAATTTCTCGATTTTCCGCTTTCAGAACCCACACAAATTTATCGCTTTCTTCGAACAAGAAATGCTGTTGCGGTAGGTAGTATTTTCCCTGATCTAATTTTGTGCTAGCGAGTGAAGGCACGACTTTGTTGTCTTCCTTCCAAGATGGTGTAAGCCGACAAAATGCAAAGCAAATTTGTCTTTGTGTACTCCCAAAATCGCATTTATTTGCAGTCGATAGAAAACCTTGAAAGGTAGTATAACTACACTAACTGAAACAGAATTTATCTTTTTACAAGATTGCGAATCAAGCCGATGTGCTAACTGTTTAAAATGTTTGTTGCAGCCGGTATTTCTTCATCGCACTTTGTCCTACATGAAGCATCGACGAACCAGACCGGCGGCCAAGAAACGGTTAGTGTACATCTAAAACTAGGATCGCAGCCTTCATTGCTTTTCCACGGAAGACAATTCATTCAGATGAAGATGGTTTTATGTTTCTGCATGTTAAATTATTAGGTAGCAGATACGGTTGTTGTCCAGCTTTTTGGAATTTCTTACGACTTTTAAACAAAGACTCAACACGTGTGGTTCGTTTGACACGTGTTTGTGTTGTTTAATAATTTTTACTTAATCTTCTCTGTAATCATTCTCATAAAATGAAGCATGCCGCCCATCTTCCTCTGTGAGAAAGAACACTTTGTTGTACAATCCCCCACCTTGTGAATTTGATTAATAGATTTTATAGTGACCTATTAGGCGTAACATTATTCTAAAATACACACAATGTGTATGAAAAAAGGAAAACATTCATAAATTCGTTTTGTGAAGATGTAGTTGTTGAGCGATATATTTCACTTAACCTGTCTGCGAGCTACAGACAAGGGTATCATTAAAACAAAAATGGGAAAAAGACATCAAAAAATACGTAGTTTCACTGACACACAGACATACAGACATACAGAGAGACAAGTAACAGATGGACAGAAACTGTATGTACACAAGAGAAGAGTGCTGGAGTGAAGAAGTTCAAACAGATGCAGTGCAGTTCTGGTTTCTTGAACTGCTCAGTTTCCCTTTCCTCAGTCAAACACAGAATTTTACCCCCAATTTCTCGAACTACCCGATTTTTCTAACCAATTTTTATTTCCCTTGGAGGTTCATAAAATCAGGATTCCTACGTACTTGGTGAATCTTCAGGTGCTTTGGGAATTAAGACTTTTCCAAATTTCCAAGACATATTTCAATGTAAAATATCAGAAATTTTGAAATCAAACCTTAGAATGTGTGCTCAATGAAACAAATACTGGTTGAATTAACAAATTAGATCCATATAAATTATTGCCCTCAAAAATGACAGAAATATTGGTGGTAGGAGTATTGTAACAGTTTTCTTACAAAAGGTAGTTGTGGCATGTATATTGTAGTATAAATGAATATGATTTATAAAGTTGTACATTCCTGTATTGAAAGTATGTAACTGTCCTCTAAGTACTGTACTTTTCATTCAATTAAAGTTAAGGACCAAAACTGTGTATTTCATTCACAAAGAAATCGCACTTGTGAAACTATCTTCCATAGAGTATGAAAGGTTTTCGAACACACAGGTTGGAATCCTGGAAGGGTTGTCCCAAGAGCCATTCAGAGGGATATTTTGTTAGCGCTGTCTTAAACAGCATCTGCCATAAACACTTTCAAATACATCTTAGTCATCAAATTATGTAACAAATAATATTATCCCTGTAACATTTAACAATACTTTTTCAACTGACAGTCAACGTAATATCAAGTATAAAAGAACAAAGTAAAACATATCTCTGAATTCAGCATATTGTAATTGCTTTTGACAGCCATGGCTATGTTTGCAGCATCAATTTGTATATTTCTGCTCCAAAATGTCTTTATTGGAACATTTTGTAAGAGCCTCTATTATAGACACAAATACAAAGTAACTTATTCATTGGTTACAAATATTTAGTGGAAAAATCTAAACACCCGAGTACAGGAAAACTGTTGGCTTCCAGAACATGTTAAAACATTTTGTAGCACTAAAATGCACCAATTATATTTTGTAATTTGTCTGTGATCAGTTTTAGACCAAGTTGAGAGATCTTTCAATTAGATACATGTTTTAAGGGGCACGGGAGGTTGTAGAAACTGAAAACCAATATAACTCAAACAAGGTCGAGAAAACATCAGAACATTAAACACTGGTTAAAATTGTGACCATGTGGTTTTAAAACACATAGGAAAATGGATTTCAAGAAAGGAACACATTCAGTGTTTAGTCACTTATTTGTTTGTCATCCATTTCAATTCTCTCTGATAACTAGTTTCCCTTCTCCTGTTGTTTGTCTTCTTAGATATGGTATTGCAGTATTGTTATTAAGTTTTGAGTCACCTTTTCCCTTGATCTTCACACTTGCAACACAAACACCTTGCTTTGTGAGTGAGTTACATCAACATAATAGTGCATACCCATCTTTTCAAGGCTTTGTGGTGTATTTAATGCTGTAAATGATATTTAACACCCATAGCTCTTTAGTTCTATGATAATGTTGTATATGTTTCTTTGCAGACAAAGTTTCAAGCTTGACAACATGTTGGAGAAAGTTGAGAGTGACAGCAGCAAGTCAGATGTAGGGGATCCTCTGTGAGTAATCAAAAAGGAAGACACCACTAAGCTTTCTTTCTGCATGTTACTATCAAAATCAGAATTAAGTGCATGAATGTGCTGCTCAATAGTCCTCATTTGAATGGTCTCATGGTTTCATCCACAATCTTTTAAGTTAGGAGTACTCTGTACAGCATAATAAACAGTACTTAACACATAGGAGTACTGCCCATAATTTACACACAAACTTAGAAATTAGAAGCACATAAACTGCTCAACAAGGGTTAACAAAATATTTTGAATCTCTACAATTTCCACAGCCACACATACTGGCACAGAACAGATGGGAATATTAAAACATTCAATCACTTACATGTAGCAAGTGTTGTGGAAAATTATGACTTTCTTCTGCACATTTCTTCAATCAATTAAATTTCAGTTCAACCACTGACATCACATCTAGTATATTTGTAATGATTATGAAGCCTTACTTGCTTTCTTCTTATAGGCAGTACCCTGCTGAGGTTTCATTAGAGGATTGGCACAGGGCAAAATCATTACCTTTGAAGGCAGTTTTGCCCAGCTGCTTTTATCATCTTAGTTGAAAAGAGTTCTTAGCCTTTTACTCTCTGACTCAAAGTGTTAAATGAAATCTCTGAGTGCCAACCTAACCAAACAATACCCACTAATCTTAGGCACATGTGACCAACCAAATGCAACATTTGGTGGTTTGCTGTTCTGGTAATGTAATCCCTGCATCTTTCATTGGACCAGTTCATTATAGGTTTTGAATTATTTAATGTAAGCATTTGGCTAAACAGACAAAATAAATATTATTTTTAAAAACTGAGATTTTACCCAATTAACTTCTCCTTTATGGTACAATGTCATTGAAAGAATGACTGCATATAAAACTGAACAGTAGGCCAAGATCTTTAATTGCGTCAATTTAGTATTAGATGATACATGTAGATTGTTAGAACCATTTTGACCTTAGATTGTCTCTCATGAATCTCTCTATCAGACTCAAAATAAACAAACAATTCAAAGGTGTAGTGTAGAAAAAAAAGTGAACCAAATGATTCTTTGCGGCTAAATGGTGTATGATTCCTCAACTGATCTCTGGCTAATGTATATGTAACTAATTTGTAACAATCAGTGAGTCATTGCAACAGTGAAGAATCAACATCTAGCCAAATGCAAGATTAGTAGATTGACATCTATTTTTTCCTTACAAGATCACATTTTCAAGCAGAGAATTAAGAGAGTCATTTATGAGGGTTTTAATTGCGAATATACATGTAGTACTGATATTAGAAGCTGGAGAGTAGAGAATTAATTCTAAAGCAGTTTGGAGTGCTGGGAATGAATTTAAGTATTTGGAGAAGGAAATGCTTGGGTTCGTTTGCTGCACAAATTTCGTAAAAGTTTTAACTTTTAGGACATTTGTTCTGCAACTCAACCTAAGAAGTCAGAATTAAAATTCTGTTATGCACTACAGACCAATCATAACAGTACATTAGTGTATCACTAGATTATAACAATAATTATTATGTACAATAGTTAGTAAATTTCAAAGCACCACAAACACTACTTAGTAACAAATAATGCTGTGTGAACCACAACTGATTTTGACATTTGCTAGAGTGTACCACTGTAGCTGCCTTGACCCTGAAATATTCTGTCAAGTGACTAAAAGTAAAGAACTTATATTATTCAGGCATTGTAGCTTGGCAACTGTAAAAACAATTTTTTAAGACTTTGGAATTTTTTTTTAAAGTTACACTGAGGTTGATTACAGGTTCTCGTGTATTACCGCATCAACTTTTTATTTTCAATTTTCAGTGAGAGCAGTGGCTACATGAATCTCACCTTTACGGGTTTTTTCCATGGATCTGGTCCAGGTAATTTATAGCACATGCACCTCTGTTAGGGCGGTTTTCAATTCAGTATCGTGAAACCAAAACCTACTACACTACTCGGCCAATCTCAAACCGTAGTAAAACCAAAACCATAGTAATTGCCCGGTTACTTTTGACACTCAATTGAAAACCGCTCTATCCCAATGCACAGTAAGCTAACAAACAAGAGGAATTCTCGTTTTGTCCTTGCAACTCGCGAAAACGTCACCGTAAATAGCCCCCTTCAAGGTTAATTGTTTTTATTTGTATTAAAACTCAACGTGGATGCGAGGCAATTTTGTGCAGAAACTTCAATCATTCACGTTGGCTAGATGCGAAAAAAAAATTACAGTGTCTGTTAATTTGCATACTATTTAGTGTACTCATGGCGTTTATTTCCGCGTTCTGCAGTGAATGGTGACCTTTCAAACAACAAGAAGAGCACATTACTGGTGGAAGATTTTATCAAGGTTGATGTGCTGCTCGTGAAAGTCTGTCACAAGAGGAGGAAGGTAACTTCAATTGTGTAATTAGTAACCAGAACTGAGGGACCAACTTAAAAACGTAGGGCTGGGAGTAGTTTTATGAATGTTAATTTGTTTATTTTAAGCAACACAAAGGTAAATGCCGTATAATTATGAGCAGCTGATAATTTTGGATCCACAAAAACTCGTCACATTTTCCGCTCGCTTTTTTGCCTATCTTGCGTGACAACCTACATGTACGAAGGAAAGTAGAGACTGCTAATAGGACACAAAATTACCTTGCGACTCAAAACTGATATATAAATCATTGGCAACAAATGCTTTCTTCAAAGTGAGTCAGTGATTATCGCAGGAGAAGTTGCTAAGGCTCTTCACGAGGCGGAGGCTCGTCCCGTTTTCCGCTCGCTTTTTTGGTTATCTTGCGTGACAACCTACTAATGAAAGTAGACTGCTTATAGTCTACAAAATTACCTTGCGATTCAAAACTGATCGAAATAAATCATTGGAAACGAGTACCTTCTTCGAAGTGAGCCAGTGATTATCGCGGGAGATTGCTAAGGCTCTTCACGAGGCGGAGGCTCGTCCCGTTTTCCGCTCGCTTTTTTGCCCATCTTGCGTGACAACCTACGAAGGAAAGGAGAGACTGCTCATAGGACGCAAAATTACGCTTCGATTCAAAACTGATCAAAATAAATCATTGGAAACGAGTGCCTTCTTCGGAATGAGCCAGTGATAATCGCGGGAGAAGTTGCTTAGCAGCGGTAAGTATTTCGTAACAATCAGCTAACATTAGTATTCTAACGAATTCTTTGTGAAGACGAATCACTCATTCCTTCAAGTTTGATTACTTCCTTGTATCTCTGCTTCAAAATACAATCGAACCTCCCGTAAGCGCTTACGTGAGGTGGTCGCTTACGAGGGCTTAGACCATATTGGATCAAAATTTTGCTTCGTTAGCATTTGGTAACTGCAGACGGACTTAACCATGTCTAAAATGTTTTATTCAGGTGAAAAGTCAGTTTCGCGAAAAAAATCCGGTACTTCCCATTGGGAAATTTCCGTCTCTTGTACTACCCAGGAATGCATAATGTTACAACACCTTATTATCCAATTTTCGCTCTATTATCTGTCAAGCGGTCGCTTTTAACTCTAAAAGTGGATACGGTTGCTTACAAGAGGTTCAAAATATACTGATTTGACTTACAAACTTTTGATATTTTGGAAAGCTGGTCGCTGAGGAGAGGTGGTCGCTTACGAGAGGTTGTGTCAACCGGAGGTTCGACTGTAAGTGATTTTTTTAAAAACTAAGGGTTTTGCTTACTAGTTGCCTATCTTTCTTGTACAGGAAAGTGAATCACAGGTATTAACAGTTCCACTCGGCCAAGGTTCCGCTCCGTTCAACCCTCGTTCTCAGTTGTTACCAGTCTCCCCATCCGCCAGTGTTTCTGTTCCTAACGGCACGTTCAAGAGCGGCAAGACGAGTCGTACGTGTATTCTGAGCCTGCAAGTTAGCGTGCCTTACCGCGTCAATAACAAAGGCGTTACGAAAAGAGGAAAGAAGAAAAAGAAGGCAGGCGAATTCATTGCAGATGCAGCCGCTGACGAGAACGGTATGTTTTGCGATAGACCTTCACATGCTGCCTACCACACCCCTTGCCTTTTGAATTACTGGGTGTTGAAGAGAAAGTCGAAATTCTGGAAGGAAATAATTACCGACAAGTGTTCTTCTGATAGGTCTGCAAAGCGTCCAAAATTTGTTTCATTAACAACGAATTGAACTTTTGCGAGAGTTTCTCTTTGACCTTTGAAATAGCAGCTTTCTTTCCAAGATGGTAAAAATAAAATTTCGATTTTTTTCATTTAAGTGCAAGGCTTAAAGACGATATATCCAGTACGAGGACGCTTTCAATTTCTCTTCACTCCGTCTTGGTGACAATACGTCTCTTAATCCGTCTCACAGGTGTTAACGACAATCTTACCCCAGACGAGCCCCCTCCGAAACGACGTAGAGTCGCTCGAGGCAGTCCCCAGGGGGAGTGGGATGATGGCAATGTGTCGGAAAATTCGAACTCGTGCGAGACAGAGCACACAGTGTACACGGCAGAACTGATCGTGTTTGATAATAACAAGCACTGTTTGCTTACGGACGGTGATTATGAACTGGCACTGAGCGAGAAGCACAAGAGACCTGGCAGGAAGAAGGGAATACTGTCTAACAGGACCTCGTGGGAGAACGTGTTTGAAGGACAGGTGAGTAACACTGCACAGGAACATTAAATTGAAGCTGTTTCCAATAACATGCAATGTTTGTTTATTTTTTTTATTTTTTATTTTTTGCCATTTACATGTATAAATATATTTACAAAATATTAATGTATAAGGCAAGGAAGCCCAGGGAAGCCTAGTCTACGAGTAGTCCCTCTTTCGCTTAGTCCACCGATCGTGACCGTAATTAAACCGCGAGGAAAAAATGGCCGCGTGAAATCCGTGGCACGAAGTACTCTTTAAGGACCCATTAACCGATCTTTTCGAGCCGTTGCTAAGGAAAATTTATTCTCATATAGCCTCATCATTTTTAGTTAGTTCAGAGTTATTTCATGTGTTTTAACTTTTTCATGATCGTAACACTAGTGATGACGTCATCAGGCCACACCCATGGTCATGTGACTAATACTGAAAAAACGCAAAGGCTCCCAGGCAAAGTACTCTATCGGGATTTTTTTCATTGATTTAATATTTTAATTTAAATCCTCATTACGCTATGCATAGCTTTTGTTTCATTTTTAAAAGGTCAGATTTTGGGAGAATTTCAAAATATTAAAAAATTCGTAATTTTCTGAAAAAAGCATGATTTGGAAAAAGGAATGCATAGCTATCTTTCCAACGTTGGCTTTAATCGAAATCCGTCGAAAAAGGCTGGATTTAATGAAAAACCGCGTTTCCTTTAGCATTCAAAGAAACCGGAAGTGCGCCCGATATATATTGGAAGTTACCTTATCAGCGCGTGCGCAATTTATACTACCAGCGCACTTTGGTAAGATCAGACAAATCCACACGGGATTAGTTTTTCTCTTTCTATTACTCTTGTTTTTCTGTCTTTCTCTTATTTTGTCTTTGCTTGTACTTTTTTTACTTTGCATTTTGTGAAACACAAAGAAAAACATCTAAAATGTTAGCGAATTTGCAAGTTATCGAGTTGTTTTTATTTTCCGCGCTCAGGCTGACGTAAGTAAACGGAAGTGAAATTTTACCTCCTTAGCAACGCGCGCGAGCGCGCGCATAAATCGGTTAATGGGCCCTTAAGCGCGATTCACGCCCGCAGGATCTCGCGCGGCCATGTTTCCTCGAGGTTTTCTTTCGCGCCACGCACGATGGACTAAGCATAAGACGGATTACTCGTAGTTTAAGGGAAGCCAAATTTCTAAGATCAGATCCGTTTTGATTCCTGGATTAGGTTTACCAATTTTATTACTGTGGAAATTAAACTGAACTAAAATTGCGGAATCTAGTTTAGTGTTGTGATACACCAAGCGGTTCCAGCCACTGAAATTCAGTTCAAGAGAAGAGACGCGGCCACTATGATTTGAAGGCGATAAAGAACTAGAAGCCATTGAATAGCCATTTTGAAGCTGAGGTGGTAATTCCTAGAATTTAATTTTCGGGTGTGAGAAGTACACAAAGGCGGAGATAAAACTTCCAAATACAATTTTTTCTCTCGCTGAAGCAAGGGGCGAACTTTCAGCTGTTTTCGTTTCGTTGACCTTCCAAGCTCGATTTTCAAATCAAATTCTTTCTTTTCACAGATGGGTCCTTTCGAGGTGTTTGCGTACGGCCCCACCCTAAAGTTTAAACTGTCTTGGTCGGGCACTCCATTGGCGCGGCCTCCAAGGCGCCCAACGTCACTTCCGCTTCGTGCACCGCTGACCAGTCAGAACGTAGCTTCCACAAACGACATCCGCTCGCCCGCCGAAGAAGCTATTCGGAATAACGAAAATAGAAAGAAACAGCGAATATTTTACCAGTTCATCTACAACAACAACACGCGGCAACAGACGGAGGCTCGCGAGGACTTGTACTGCCCCTGGTGCTCTATCGATTGTCGTAGGCTGTACAGCTTGCTGAAACATCTCAAACTCTGTCACCGACGTTTCATCTTCACCTATGCTGTAAGTACATGTATCTTCATGAGCACTTTAAGTAAGCATACATTGATATCTGTAGCGCTTTGATGGTACAGCGGACATCCCTTTGGCCAAAACTTTAGTTTGTGATTAACGTGAACGAAAAGAAAGGAAAAATTCCACCTAATGACGTAATTCTCCAGAGATCAGTTTAGTGGCCAGGTCATTGAAGGAGCTCAGTCACGGCATTTTGACTTACTTTGGCCACGTTCAAAATTACCTTTAAATTGAAGGAAACCAGAAAATAATAGTTCACTGCGATAAAGAAACTCCACAGAGATAATAATAAACCATAAAGGAACAAGGATGGTTATGGATGGTGAAGATTAACACGGATTACAAACGACGAACTTGAAAAATTTAGGCTCAACTTTTCGAGATGCGCAAATCGAGACATAGCTCCTTTAAGGGCCGTAACCCTGACACCTGTTACGGCTGTATGATTGGTTAAGAGCTTTCGCGCGCAAATATCAACCAATCAGAGACATACGGATCTCGGTGTTGCAACGTCACGGTCATCGACCTGAGCTTTTCGGGTTGAATCTCAGGCGTCTCACTGAGAAGAGTTGAGAGCACGACAAGAAACGTTAAATCAAGCTTCTTTGGTCTACGTATTACGTTTATTTTTGCCGTCAACCTAATCCCCGTCTATACGTGAGTAATCCCTTCTTTTTTGTTTTCAGCCTCACAGTAAAGGAGAGAGAATCGATGTTAGTGTGAACGAGAATTACGATGGATCCTACGATGGCAAACCCGAGGACATGAACGATCTGCTAGGTTACGCTCTGAGTCGGGAGGGACCGTGCAGAAGAGTGGCAAATACACATGTCATGGTCTGGAGGTAACGCAATCCTCTTCTACAACGTCATTGTAACGCAGTCTCATTTTGTGATTTAATAAGAGACCCTGACTAGAAATATAGAGTTCAAATCGCCGGCCGGGCTCGAAAAATCGAAAATCCTGATCCTTTGCCTGAAGGACACTTTTGGAGATTTATCTTCGAGTATATTTTTGTATCTTTCTAAAAAATTATTCTATAACAATATCTATTCTATCATAATAACGTAAAATAATCAGTCATCTGGAATTTTGATATTGGTGGAACCCCACAAAGCAGGTAAGTCATAATTACGACTACTTCTTAGAGATTATCTTCATCACTACAACCAGCCGTTAATACGGCTGAATTTAGTTACCTGTCATTGGCTAGAATAAAGGCGTTACATTGCAGAGAAAATACCATATAACAACGTTCTCATAGACTCCTCTGCACATTCTGATGTGCAGAGATTCGCGGTATTTTGAGTTACTTTGGCCACGCACAAAATTACCTTTAAATTGAAGAAAACCTGAAAATAATAATTTACGACGATAGAAAATCACCAAAGAGGTGATAACAAACCATAAAGGAACGAGGATGGTTAAGGATGGAGAAGATTAACGCGGATTACAAACAACGAACTTGAAAAATTTAAGCTGAACTTCTCCAGATACGCAAACTGTGACGTAGCTCCTTTAATAGATAATTCCCCTTTATTCATCTCTAAACAAACGATGGGCCCTTCAAAGATAATATCAAAAAATGAACATGACTGAAATTCAAGATCACACGGAAAAAGAGCTCCTTCTCAGATTTTGCTCAAAAGTTTTTAACTCCTAAGTCATTGTCTTTCAGACCCCAGCGACGAAGAGAAAGTCTGTCGGAATTCTTGGAACCGGATGACGGCGAGTTTGATGGCAGCAGACCTTTCTATAACGGACATCATAGGTATCAGTATATCCATCTTTAAATTTCCAGTGAAGGTGAAGTCCTAATCAAACCTTAGTTGCTACAACCAGGAATTCATTCTCTGCAGTTTGTTTTGTCCGGTGTTCTTGATTGGACAGTGGCTGGTTCAACATTAGATGATGTCTTTGTTTTTCTCCATGGGAGGTGCGATTGCTTCATGATTAGTCCGCTCGTCTCCAGATTGTGTTCTTGGGCAAGACGCTTTACTCTCACAATGCCCCTCTCCACCTTGCTGTATAAATGGATACTGGCGAATTTAATGCTGGGGGTAACCCTGCGATGGACTAGCATCCCATCCAGGGGGGAGTAGAAATACGCCTTGTCGTTTCATGCTACAGAACCAGGAGATAAGCGCCGGCCTGATGGGCCACTTGGCTCGTAAGCATTCTTTACCTTATTTTTCTCCAAGTTATGTTATGGTTCCCTTGTTCACATGTATGCTTTCTAGCGCTTTTCTTGCGCGCTTCAGAGGCATTGCTAAGGTACCTGATGCCGTTGTAGTGGCACGTGATTTGCGCGTGACGGACAGTTTGCTCTTCTCTTTCTCTTTAGGATGTACTTTCATTCAGAGACAACCCTTCCTATCAGAACAACGGAGAAGGACCAAGACAGTGAAGACGAGACTATCCCAGAATGGATGAGAGTCAAGACAATTCAGGTGGACTTTATAGATGGAGTTAAAACAAATTCACCCAAAGAAACAACTATTTTCGGTGGCAATCTTGTTAACTTTTTATAATGCAACACGAAGGTCTCTTTTCAAACTAATCATTAAATCAGACTTTAGATTCAGAGGACGAGAATTTTAGCTTAACAGTTGCCCTTGTGATTGGTATTCCTGATCAGTGCACTACACTTTCTCAGTGCCTCTTCCCTCTTTCCTAGTTTGTCCGTAGCCGTTTTTCCTTCGTCATACAGTTTAAGCGAAGTGAGCGGGCCAAAACGAGTGCACACCCCTACCCTTTTGCGTTCGCGCTCGTTCAGTTACACGCGGTTTTGGTTTGTTCGCACCCAGACCCTAGACGATCTCAAGAAGAATAGATAGACTGTGAACAGACTACCTCCTTCCCGGGAAGAAAGTAGCCACCAATTCATTGATAAGGAAGTAATCTTGAAAAGAAGCTGGGCGGTAACCTGATCTCTACTGACATGTTACAGCTATACAGGGAGAAAAGCAATATTGTTTGTCACTTCCTTCTGCAGAAACCTGACTGTACTTACTCTAATTTGTAGTTACTGTAATTACACTAATGTGTGTCTCTTAAAGACCCTGTTGTGTTAATTCGTTTTCAGTTAATCGACGAGTTTACGGACGTGAATGACGGAGAAAAACAGCTGATGAAACTTTGGAATCTTCATTTGATGAAGAACAGGTTGGTTGACTTTCACGTGTAGTCAGACGTTTTGTTGTGTTTTACCGAGAAGTCAACGAGGTTTAGCTGTTATACAACAGAAGGAGAGAATGATGTTCATAGTTAATTACGTTAGTTTGTTTCGTCTGTTTTGTTTTATCTTGTCGTAAATACTGTAGAAGAGAACGAAGGTATTTTAAATTTAATGCGGATTTTCAAGGTTGTGTTTAGCAATCCGTCGTAACATTTTCCAGTGTTGACCGCCCTTGTTGCGTTACCTACCTCAGTGACAAGTTTTACTTTGAGGGTTCTGTCGATTCGGTGATACAACCGTTGAACTGGAAAACACTTTACCACTGGGAAAGCGCCGGAAAACTCACGCTTGTCGGAACGCATGTCGTACCTGATTGGCTAAAATCGCGTAGCCTATGAAAAGCGCGGGAAAAATCCAACAAACCAAGTTACACGTCGTCCCTGATAGGCCAGAAACAGACAATACCTGTTTTCTGATTGGTTAGGCAAGTTAAACACGTTATTTCTTTAGAAATGAAAACAAATGTTTATACGTTGTATGCACTGAATGAGAAACACTGGTTAAAAAAGGTATCTATCTATATTTGTTGAATTTTTTTTTCTGTGTTTTAGTTACATTGCCGACTTCCAAGTAATCGACGCTTGTCGCTCGTTCATCGACAAAAACAGCCAAGAACTCAAGGAAAAGAACTTGGAAAGGAATTTTCTGCTTCACCTTATAAATCTGCACGACTTCAACTTGATCACATCTAGTCAGATTGAAGAGATCACTGGCAAATTGAGGGATGTTGGAAAGAGCTTGGTCCAGTGACGTGTTGAGAACAGTGTACTTAACTGTTAGGGGCTAGATAGTAGACACTGATAGGGGGTCATTTAAAGTGCCTAAACACTTCCATTAAGCTTTGGAGAATGCTAGTGTTCAAATACTTTGACTGTTTCTTGGTGTCGCGAGTTACGGAAAGTTCACGGCGACTGTTCACGCCCTAACAACAAATCGCAGTTCTGAAACGCAACTAAACAACACCAAGGAACAGTCGATATTTTACTGAGGAAGCTTAAACTTTTTGTGTCTCGTTGAAGGCATCTTGCAAAGAGGGAAACAAGCGTCATTTTTCTGTCTTGTCCTGATGGTAGTAGGCGACAAGTTTGGTCGCCATGACGACACGTCATGTTGCTTAGCAGCAATTCTGACGTAAACCTGGGGTCCTGGGAAATCTCTCAGATGGAGTTCGACCGAAAAAGGTGCTGTTTCCTGAACCTTCAAAATTGGCGGGAAAACCGTTCTAAAAATAACCCAACTTGTACAAAGGTTGATCCAAAGACACTGTATGGGAGGTGACTCTCCCGGTTATGTACTCTTGACCAAAGAGAGGGATAGATAATGGTAGTAGTGATTGTTTTGTTATGTACATATTAGCCTTTTCTATGTATTATGTATGGAATTATTGCATGACTGTTTAGACTACAAGAAGTTTACACTTTAATGGTACTTTCACTTGATGAACCTTCAATTTGATAATCATTTTCACTTCTTCTTGTACAGATAGCAAAAAATTTCAATGCTTATTTTTCTATTTATTTGATATGAAATGACATACTTTGGTTGAAGAAATTTTATACCCAAGTGAACAAGCTGACTTACAGCAAACTTTGAATACAAAACGCTGAAAAATCCACCGAATTATACTGCAAACTATTATTAATATTTCCCCGTGTAACCTTACCGTACTACATTTTACTGTCGCCAGGATCTGCTACTTACATAGAGTTATCGAGCAAAGGTAGCTTATGCTTTGTAGAGTGGTTATTTTTCGCGAGCTTTTTCGCGAAGCATTTTAATGAGATGCATTATATGTATTAACCAATCCTCAACAATTCAAAGCAACACATTAGGGTCATGAGAATAAACTTCCTAAACAAAAAGGAAAATTTGTCGTAATATATGTAATTAAATTCTCCTTGCTATCAAATATAAGAATTGCGTACAAACGGGTCGGGAGAATTTGAATGTTGACATGAGGGCTTACCAAGCTAAATCCAAAACGTAGTCACGCTCAAAACGTACTTCGAGCTTATGATCTTTCCCGTTCTTTTTTCCATCTTCTCGACTACTTTTTGTGAAGTTATTTCGGTTGATTATTTGAAATTTGTGAATTTTTAAGACTGTGGCATTCGCTTCAATGTAATTCTGACGGGAGGGAGGGAAAGTTTAACAACTTATTAAAAGATGTATAGATTCCCAATTTCGGTGTTAAAACGTAACTTCGATTTTATGATTCTTTGTGCAATGCACAATTTTGCCAATCATTCTGATCACGTGCCTACTCTTTTTTCATGCAGTTGTAAAAGATACTTTCTTTCTAGATGACGGTTATGAAGAGGATCTCGGATCAACCATGAGAACGAGATTGCACTCGATCTTCGAAACGGGAGGGAATGAGATTGAAATATCTGGCAAAAAATAGAAAAGTTTGGGCACTCGCGAGGTTACCCTTATTCGAAAATTTCGAAAAACATTTTTCATTCATTCAGTACAGTCCAGCGGAAAATGCGGTTCCACGTGCCATTGGAAATTTACTCAAATTTGACCCCGGCATTTTTGCTGATTTAATAACGGGATGGCGCCAAAGTATCATGAAAGAGTAATGAGAAGAAATTCTAATAAGCAACCACGACGGAGGATGTCAAAGATAGTGTCTTTTTGTATTTTACTGTCAAAATGTTGTATAGGGCCTGATTACCAAAATGTGTCCTTGATACGATTATCAAGTTCATCTAGCTAGAATTATAAGAACTACATGGAGACTGGTGAAGGGATTTGAAAGTTTCTGAGCCACCTTAAATTTTAGATAATTTAAATGGATACTAAATATGTCGCGAAGCGCGATTTATGACTGTCAATTCCAAACCTTCGAAGGTAAGTTATTGACACCTTTGTAATAAAAACATCGTATTTTCGTTTAAAGGGTTAAGCCTTCTCTCAATAAGTTTTCTCTGCAAACGTCGTCTTTGCGAGTTTGTCTGTCTTTTCGGAGACCCGTGGAGATTGGTGTGCATTATTTTTGAAAATGTTCAAATAAATTTCAATACGCTTCGTACAATACCATACCATAAAGTTGAATTTACGAATAACAGTAAAAATCAAACTTTAGCAAGCTACTTACCAAATAGAAGACGCTTTTTTCAGGTTATATTAGCGCTTACAACACGACAATATCGCTATAAAATATAATTTTTAAAATATAACGCTATCCCATGGGTGGGTCATTGACACTTTTCTCATGGTCCCACCAGGGGGAATTTTGCGCCAGCTGCCCCACGGTGGGGAATAATGTCAAATGTACCTCCCTTGGGAGGGGGTGGGGGGCGGACATGAGAGGGTTTTGGAATTGCAGAGCCATTATACACGGTCTGGCTCCAAAATTACTTCAACGCCATCAAAGTCAATGAAAGGGAAATGTCATAAGCTGTAATCAACGAATGTTCACATAATATTTTCAGCCTGCAATTGGCAGAAAAATAAGACTATTCAGCCTGGGTCGGAAAAACAATATCCTTATATTAAAAAGAGTGGACCCATTTTTAAAGACCCAATTCAGCCAGCTTTGATTTTATGACTATCATCGCATAAAAAAAATAAGCTGCCAATGTACGGTATGTCACATCCGGTTGAGTATCCCATCATACGCTAAAAGCCCAATCTAAGATCACGTGTCCAGAAGCCTGATGTCTTCGAAATATGGCGGGTGTTTCACTTGCAAGGTAAGCAAGATATTCCGCATGGCGTTTTCTGTTTTCATTTGCCCTTCTGTGGCTTGTTCTTATATTATCATTTGTAAGATTTATTCCTTCAAATTGAAAATTAACTTGCAGAAGTTAATGCAAAGGGAAGGAAGCGTTTTTAGAAGGCGAATTTTGAGCACATGGCAATAACAACACTTCATTAGGGCTTCAATACCGCAGGCAGTAAATAAGCTATTTTATCATGATCACAGAGTTGGTCTTCACAACAAGTAGTGTTCAAAAACCAATAGCTCTGCATAATTTTGAACCTAGCTGGAAGCTAAATTGTAGGGCTTTCATTATAACGTTTTTATTAGGGCAACTTGTTTTCAGAGGTAGATCATCCTCACAGCTGGTCAATTTTCCTGGTGCCTGGCCCTTATTGATACTCCCTGTTGATGTTATCCTTCTAATCAAATTAGTACTAAGGCCATCCCCCCCCCCCTTTTTTTT